AGAGCGCAATGTTTTGCTGCGCATCGTTTGCGTAGCGCGCCAGCGTGTTTACACATTAGTGCTTGAGCAAACTAATTGGAAGCCTGTAATTTTTACTGTTTTTGACCGTGCAAGGCTCACATCAAATCCATTTATACTTTACATGTAAGCTGAAGATAGAATATCGCCTTAAAATTGCACCTACGATCTTCACGTTCGAAACTGGAAAGAACTAAGGCTTATATTACAAACAAAAAGAGCATCAACGAAAACGAAACAAAGATCTCTGATCCGTATATTTACATACACGAAATTCGATGAGGTTAAATACGTATACGAAGGCAGCATTTCTTCTTCCTATAGCAAGGAACATACCCGCTTTGGCATTGGCAACTGCTTGAGCCCGATTGACAGCTGACCACCACTGGCTGAATGGTGCAAGTTTCTTCACACTTTTGCACACATGCTGGCTGACAGGATGACAATGACACAGCTTGTTCAGTGCATTGACTGGTACAGCTGGATTGACATTGTGATTGGCAATCGCTGGATTGGGAAATGCTCAACTCCATTGTCACTTTCACGATTTGCGGTTGCGGTTGCGGTTGCGTGAGACACGCGGACTGACATTGCTGGCATTGCATGTTCTGTTGAACACACTGCTGCTGGCACTGTCGTACGCAGATGGGCTGTTGAGCCACGCAAGTCGGTTCACATGCCGGCATACAAGCTTGTACACATTCTGCCACTGGTTCAGGTTGTACAGGTTGCACTGGTTCACTAACGCAGGTCTCGGAGCATTGATCCTGACAGGCATCGAGGCAAGGAGCAATGGGTGTTTCTTGCTGAGACACACATGACTCCTGACACTGCACTTGGCATTGTGGCATGCATGGTAGCACTTCCTGGACAGTGTTTTGTTGAATGCAGGAAGAGGAGCATGATGGCTGACAGGCTGGAATACATTGTGACTCATAGGTGATGGGTGGCAGAATGCCGGATGAGGAACACATGCTGCTGCACTGAGTTTGGCACTGATCTGCGCAGGAGATGGAAGACATATAGCTTGGACATCCGCTCTGGCATTGCTGCTGGCAAGCAGGTTGACATTGCTGAACTGTGATGACAGGAGGC